ACTTGCAATGTGCTTCGCGCCACAACGGCGTGCAATTTTTCATCTCTCATCTGGCCAGCTAGCTCCGCACCCGCCGCTTTAGCGAGCCTACTTTTCGACCCTCCGGAGCCCCAAATCATTGGAAAAAGACAGTGTTTCGCGACTTTCCTACCTTTTCGCGCATCTGCATCTTCTTTCTTCTGATCTTTTCTCTCCTGACTCTTCTCACCTCTGCTTTTCAACTGTCCATATTGTCGGAAGTTTCACTTCTAAACTTCCTTCGGTCAAGTGCATTCTAAGTGCATTCAAATGACATATGCAACCAAGGCGCTGCGAGGCCGATGGAGACCACAGGAATTTGGCAGACTGAACAGGTTTGAAACAAAACATTGCCAAGCATTGCCAAGCCAAAAATTAAAGCTTCTGTCTAAGGCTTCCGAAGGTCCACAAACACTCCCCTAACCCGCCCTAACCCCTCACAAATGCATACAAAATATACAAATGCAACATTCAGGTTGACTAAGTTGACTTCTTCCCCGTGCTCCTGCATTGAGATGAGGGCAAATGAAGGAACATGGCGATAGCACAACGGCAAGTTAGGCCGAAAGCAACTCGCAGCTTTTGAAGCAAAAGGGTCAATCATGTTGGTGCATGCTTTGTTTCAAGGGGATCTTCTGAGTCAAGATTGGGTCACATCTGCTTTTAAGTCCGTGGTTGCTCTTTGAGTGAAATGCCAACGGAATTCATTCGCAAAAACAAAATCACAATAAATCACAGCTAAAGTCAAAGAAGTGAAGTAAAGAGAAAGAGTTAAGAGTCTGAGCTAGACTAGACTAAAAATGACTAAAAGATAGCAAAAGTGACAAGACAAGAAACTTGTCGGCCGACCGAGTTGAGCATCCGGACCTGTACCCCAACATCTGACCACACGCCAAAGCAATAGAGACCTGCTAGGCTAGGCTTTCCACAACTGAGCAAACCTCAAAAGCATTTAGAAGCACTGCAATTTCACCGAGGATGCATGACAATCTTCCGGTTCTGAAAAACATTTCGCAGTACCTCTATGTCCGGCTCAACAGGCTCGTTCGTAATAGGCCTCATTGGGATCGGGGGAAGCCTCCTGCAGGCAACAGCTGGCAACTGCTGGCAAAAGAGTGTCACGATGTGTCACATATCTTCAACCTTTGAAATCCTTTGAACCTCCAAACTGGAAATCTCAGATTCAAACGATGCTGCTTCCCAAGCATCTAAAGACCCAGGCTCCTGGCATGAGTTTCGAGCGATTAAGCACGCCAAACAGCCCAAGAACAGGCTCAAACTTTTTCATACTTTTTGTATCCTTTTGTCTTGTTGTGCCGTGTTCCAATTCCTGGTCTTTTGGTGTTCGCTGATTCCGGCAAATGGCATCATTACCAACGCATGGCTCAGACTTTTTAAGCAAAGATGATCAAAGATGTGTGTGTGTGTGCGAACAGACGCTTGGAGCATGTCTGCTTGCACAATGTCTACTTGCACATCATCAGGTGCTTGTACAAAAGAGGCTTACACTCGGACTCATCGATTCTGAACACATTTGCCCGAAGCGCGCTTACAGCCAGCAAATTCGTAGGAAGTACACACTCACTCTGCATGAACGGGAAACTCAACAAGAACCTTTGCCTTGGGACCCAAAGAGACCCAATGACCCAAGGTGAAAAGACGCGAAAAGATGCGCAAAAGCAAGGGCCTGGAATGGCCTGGAGATGCTTGGAAACTACAAGCATCTACAAGCTAGTTGGGGAACTGTTTGAGACGCTGAAACCAGCACGTTACGTTTGAACCTGCTTGCTGCTTGTGTGCTTTCCAGTTGTCGCTGCCTCAGGATTCCACTTCAAACATCTTTGGAAGGCATCTTCTTAGGTTGTTTTTGTTGCACAAATCGGTTGTAGAAGATTGCTGTTGCATCGATTTGCACCACCCAAACACAGGACACAAACAAGTCCTCGATGGGTGAGCCAATGCCAGAGCCATGTCTTCCAATCGAACCACAGGCTCTGACAGATTGACTTCTCATTCACTTAGGAAAGAAGACGTCTCTGTTCGATTTTTTCCGCTATTGTAGACCGGATTGCAGCAGGCAGGATCCAAGGACAAGCTGACTGAGGACATCTGAGGACCAACTCGACTCAGTGATGCAGTGATGTTCTCTGAAGAATTCCATCTCCGGTTTGAAAAGCGTCCCCAAGGCCTCCATCACTTGGAGTTGCCGTGGCTTCGGCTCTCCTGCGGGTGTCGGTGGTCGTTCAATGCTTAATTCTGACAGCTGAAAATAGCAATCAAGACAAGTGATGACAAGTGTACTCTTGGAAATCCTAGGGGCGCTTGTTCTTGGAAGTTCGGCTGTTGCGAGTATGGGGGACTGCCGGCACCAAAGCGATTCTGACCTGCACAAAACAGGTAATATAACAGGGCTGATCCATTTTCACGCTCACAAATGGTTCAGAATCATTCAGAATCTATCCACTCTACAATGTGACTCATCAAAGTTACAACAGGAGCACGCTGAAAATGCAAAGAGCGGCAACATGTTTCTTGGACGGCAAAGATCATGTTCAAACAATCCGTCTGAACATGTCAGAAATAATCAGAAATAAATAGCAAGTCTTCAAGGTCATCTCAAATCTGAGTCATTCCAGCTCCAAACGCCAGGCTCTCAACACTTCCGCGACCATAACCGCGACCATAACGACTTGGGCGCAAACCATGCATCGCAGCGTTCTGCATACCGTCTCTCATTGCAGAACTGCAGGCATACCCACATTGAAACAAAACACATTTGGAACTGATTAAATCATGTGGCCAACCAAGCTAGCAACAAAAAGGGAACAACACATACAAAACGCTGGGCTGGAACAGTGTCACAAACAAAGTGATGCGAGCAGGTACACTCTAGGTTGTGAAGAAAGGTCTGGGTTTCAAGACTCAACGTCTGTGGGCTTGACGGCTTGCTGGACAGTTTCTTTGAATCGTCTTGTGTGAAAAATCTGAATGGATTTTGCTACCCAAAAGTCTTGAACTGCTGACGTTACTCTCTCACATGTAAAATGTCCAACAGTGAAGTGTTTTTTGTATTTTGTTATCAGTATCGAACGAAGCCTAGACTAAAAACCTGGACTAACAATCGAAAAGACTGTTTCACGCAGCTTTATCATCCGAGGTCCTGCCAGCAGATCAAATAGGCACAGTGCCCCACTTGCCTGGAAAAGTCTCTGGGCGAGTGCCCTACTTGGTGCGGGTATGATGCACTGGGATCACTGGGATCACTGGGTGCAAAGTGGACAGGACCTGCAGGACCTCAGCAATGGCACCGAATCCTACGGAATCCGACTGAGATCCCTCATGACTAATATGACATGGTCCATCCAGCTGTCGGCAACAAGGCACTCTGCAATTCCCCTCCAAAAAAATTACTTTACTTCGTGTGATCCCCACCATGACATTTATACATTTTCTTACTGGCAAATCTTCTGGCATTCTATCTGACATATCTTCTGACATTCTATTTGGCATTCTATCTGGCATATCTTCTGGCATATGATCTGGCATATCTTCTGGCAAATCTTCTGGCATTCTATCTGGCATATCTTCTGGCACTCTATCTGACATATCTTCTGGCATTCAATCTGGCATTCTATCTGGCATATATTCTGACATATCTTCTGGCATTCTATCTGACATATCTTCTGGCATATATTCTGACATATCTTCTGGCATATCTTCTGGCATATCTTCTGGCATATCTTCTGACATATCTATCTGGCATATCTTCTGGCATATTTTCTGGCATTCTATCTGGCAAATCTTCTGGCATTCTATCTGGCATATCTTCTGGCATATCTTCTGGCATTCTATCTGGCAAATCTTCTGGCATTCTATCTGGCATATCTTCTGGCATTCTATCTGATATATCTTCTGGCATTCTATCTGGCATTCTATCTGGCATATCTTCTGGCATATATTCTGACATATCTTCTGGCATTCTATCTGGCATTCTATCTGGCATTCTATTTGGCATATCTTCTGGAATATCTTCTTCTATCTGCAACAATTCTTTGTCCGCATATCTTCCTACATGAGGTCCGGCAGGGAACACTTGGCGTGGATACTCGCGGTTGAGGTCCGGCAGGGAACACTGGGCGTGGATGGCCGTGGTTGAGGTCCGGCAGGGACCACTGGGCGTGGATGGCCGTGGTTGAGGTCCGGCAGGGAACACTGGGCGTGGATGGTCGTGGTTGAGGTCCGGCAGGGAACACTGGGCGTGGATGGTCGTGGTTGAGGTCCGGCAGGGCACACTGACGTGGATGGTCGTGGTTGAGGTCCGGCAGGGCACACTGACATGGATCGCAGTGGAGCAGGAGGAGGACGAGGAGGAGGAGGAGAGGAGGACGAGGCAGGAGGAGGCAACTGACATAAAATCTAACAACCCTCACCTGGCAGGTGGGGAATAAAACTGGCTGGGGAGCAAACCATGCAACCCAGGGTTCTGCATACCATCGTTCATCCTGAAACTGCAAATGATTGCAAATGTAATACAACGATTGAAACAAGTTCAGGAATTGTCTTCCTCAAAAAAGAACAGCCACATGTTTTCGGTTGATTCTTTGTCGAACAGTGCGGTATGGCGAATCAAGCCTTGAATTGTCACCGTTGTAACCTGGCAGTGTCAAGGTGCAGTTTGTTTTGGAATGTTTTGGAATAGTACAGCTACCATCAGCTACCAACATCATACTACCGATTTTCAACTCTTCGGCTGGTGAAACAGTGTAAGTGATGTCGTATGCGCGGACCAAGTCACACGCGCAAATTTGTGGGTGCACCGGGCATCAGTCGATTCTTTTACAACAGGAGGTTGATTCCAACACAAGCAGTAACAGAAAAATCAACACATATTATCAACAATGAAAAACATCCAAATGTGACATTGCCTCGCCTTCGAAGGTGGGGTGCGTGTACGCAACCTGCCAGCAATTTGGGAAACCTTTCCTTCAGCGACCATATGCAAATTGAGTATAAAACCATATTGACATATTGGAGCGCCGGAAAGCCTCATGGCCAACTGTCTCTTGCGTGGACCGTAGATGGTTGCCAACTACGGTGATTGAACCTCGTCTTGCTCTTTTGCTGCTAAAGCGTACGTCCCTTTTCCATAATTGCGCGCACTCTTAATGTTGCGCTACAAATGAGGTGGGGGGGCCAACAACACTCACCTGAACTTGTGCACTCAGCTGCTGCTACACTACAAACAGAACGGGTGAGGTGCCATCCATGCGGACTTGTGATGGCTTGAGAAGGGGGGACAAAAAGATCAAAAAGTAGGTTTGGGCGTGTAGCTGAGCGTGATACTATCCTGGGGCGAAACTACCTAGTCCAATCAGGATTCAAAATCATTCAAACATATTCAAATTCATTTGACCAATCCCCACCTCTAAAAGAGTCTAAAAGCGAAAGCTATTTATCGATCTGCATGCTTGATCAGTCGTACAAAACGAGAAACAATGCAGTGTACAAGAACAGAGCCAGTCAAGAATCTCATCATTTCATCCAGAATCCAGGCAAACTTGCAAGTTTGCCCCGCAAGCCACAGTCAAGGAAGAAGAACCAAACACGCCGGACCAATCTACCACATGAATTTCACGCAACACTCATACACAAGCAGTGCTCACGCAGGGATTTCCAGACAAGAACCAAAACTGACTTGAGCCAAGCTCGAGTGAATTCGCCCGAACGATGAGCAGAATGAGACAATGCCGTACAACAAAAAACAAACAGCCAAGAAAACATAAGAACATGCAAGTGTGCCTGGATAAATGTCTGACAACCCCAAGCCGCCAGCCAATCACCCAATAAGCGCAACAAGTCATCAAATTGAGACTTGAGAGGACTTACACATCGCGAACCCCGCTCACGTGTGGATCTGGTGGGAGTGGAAGGCCTCCCCCCTGGTAGAGTATCTTTGCGCTTTTGCTCCAAATCAGTGACAGTTTCCAGGCCACCAGAAAAAAAATACTAAAGTATGTGAAACTCAGTTAACCTAGGCGACCTGTCGTGAAAAGACTGGAGGCCCATGGTTCTGAGCGAGAACACGCCGTGGTGGAAACAACAGTGGGAAGATGTTGGGCGTGGGTGGCTACATTCTTTCACGCAAAGAGGACGTGGGAATAAAACAACACAAAGAGAAGAAACACGGGCCGGGGCATGCGGCACGCGCCCAACTTCCACTGGGGCAAGGCTGGGTGAGACCATGAATGAAACGCTGTTCCAGAAGAGCTGCAGGTTATATTGCATGCAAGTCAAAGGTTGAAATAATGCAACGATCAAAACTCGGTGGTGCTGGCTCTTGCTATGATCTTGTTATTGTAGCTGCTTCATGTATGGTATCTCAGGCATGCAATGGTATGATTTCGCTGTTGTACATCTACCTATCAACCTATCTATCTGCCCACCTTTCTATCCCTACTCAGGTACCTATCATGTCCAACGAATCCTGGATGGGTGGAATGGCCTTCATCCGTTTCATGTTGCATTGAGTCATCAATGCAAGTTGCATGGCCTCGACAACGTGAATGCATCCACAACACAACAAGATCGGCGAATGCGAAACGTCGTCAACTCTTTGCAAGAGAGATGAGGATTTCGTGATCACTCCCTGACATCCTGGAAATCAATCTCGCGTGGTTTCGAAAAACACATATACAGATACAACGGATACATAGGTAGTTTATGGTACAAGTAGTGTGGCATTTCCTCAAGCCATTCTCAAGTAGCAGACCCAAGGACGCCGTTCTTCTTCCAAATCATCATACCAGTCGAAAGCCAAGTAGGCAGCAACACCTTTGTTTTTGAGCTCAAGCGGCATCATATGAAGCATACTTTGCCATGCAGTTTATGCTAACATCCACTTTTGACATGTGTTCTTCTATCGCTTGGGTCCACCGCTTTCAAAGACCAGATCAACTTGCACATGTTGAGATGTGTTGCAGGAAAGCGTGAAACCCCTGAACGTTCAAGAGCCTTTCATAAAGATTTGGCACCTGGAAGTTTTTGCGACTTTGGCAGCTTTGGAACAGAAAATTACTCGCCAGTACTCACCCCAACTTGGTTTTAATATGTTTTAATACTATATTTCCTGCCTTCCCCCAGCATCACTTGGACGACACCAAAGCCTAAGAGAAACTCTGGCGGTGTAGCAGCGCTGCCGTGGAGGTTAAAGAAGGTCATTGAGATGGAAACCGAGCACTTCATAGCTAAACAAAATGTATCAACATATGTTCTAAACTAAACACGCTTTCCTACCTGCCTGCATACATACCATGCCATGCCGTGCCATGCCTTGCATTGCAGAATGACAAGTAATCCCTTCCTCCTAATACTAAACGTCCCCCTAATACTAAAAACAGGCATCCATCTCCAATTTCCGAAAATTTCAGTTTGGCCAATTTGACTTTTAATTGATCCCCTTTAAAAAACAATTTAAAAATCAACCTCCCATTTGTGGGTTCTCCCCCCTAATACTAAAAACTAGTTCACCCCGGGGTGTTTAGTATTAGGGGGGCCTAGTCCCAATCCCTCACTCCAAGCTGCCTGGCTACTCTAGCAATTAGGGGTAAGCTTCGAACTGCCATTTTTGGCAATATTTTTAATTGCGTTATATAAGGAAATTTAATTGATTTTGAGATCGGAAAAAATAGTTTTTAGTATTAAGGGTTTTAATTTAGTATTAGGGGTAAGCTTCGAACTGCCATTTTTGGCAATATTTAATTGCGTTATATAAGGAAATTTAATTGATTTTGAGATCGGAAAAAATAGTTTTTAGCATTAAGGGTTTTAATTTAGTATTAGGGGTAAGCTTCGAACTGCCATTTTTGGCAATATTTTAATTGCGTTATATAAGGAAATTTAATTGATTTTGAGATCGGAAAAAATGGTTTTTATTATTAATCCCTTCCTCCATTCTAATGCATGAATAACTGATTAACATGACTTCGATTTGGTTCCCTAATAATAAATACCCCCCTAATACTAAAAACTACCTGCCGTGTTTTGTATTAGGGGGGGGGGTTTAGTATTAGGAGGAAGGGATTAATTCCAGAATGAACTGGTGCCAGTCAATGCTGGTCTGTTATTTCTGTGATCAACCTTCTGTGAAGCCATGACACTGTTGGTTTCCGAGAAAGTGCCACTTGAAGAGTAGAGGCCTGCCCTTGGCCGCTTGGATGTATATTCACAAGTGTGCGCATATGTTGACGTAAATTCAGGTGTGATGGTGTGACCCTCATTTGTGCTGTGACAGCACGGAAAAAAGAGGCCAGGCCAATATGATTCTTGTGCTGCAACACTTTGGACGTCAGGAACAGTTTAGCTGTGGACCTGTTGGATCTAGACTTGATCCCAAGGCAGCCTGATGTTCACCAAAATTTCAGGCAGCCAAAGCTCACTCCAACATCGTGGTCGAATGTCGATGTGGTCATTGCTGAAAGCCTCACCTGAGTCAAAGCAAGTGAAGAACTCTTCAACACCAGAAGAATATACAGCCACTTAGATTTACCATGATTTACCTGATGAATCCTGATGACATGTTTCAAGTTCTTCTCAGTTCTCCAGCGCTGCAGTGCAGAAAGCACCTCACTCCTCGCCACTTCCACGGGAACTTCCGCCGAGTTGCAGAATGCATTGCGTTCAGGACTGGGAGCTCCCTCCTAAGTCGAAAAAGTCGAATACCGCTGCAAATGCTGCAAGCATCTGCAAGATTCTGCAAGCACTGCTGGTCCATGCCACGAGAATATACGAGAACCCTATCCGCTGACACCCTGCGCAAGTCCAAGGTCCATTAGAAATGCGATCAAGAATCAACCACTGGTTTGCGCATTCCTGCAATTCTTGCTTGAAGTCCGCACTTGCCCGACTTTTCCCAGTCTGATGTTCAAAGCTCTGCAAGTGCTGTACCTGCCAGCTGCATCCAGAATTCCACTTCACCACTTGACACAGAGGGTCATTTAAAATCTTTCTAAGTGGCGAAGAGGAAGTGTGGCTGTGGCTCCACGAATTGTTTGAGGTACAATTCTTTGCAGTTCTCAGCTTGTGGTAAACACAGAAGCTATATTGCAGGCACTTTTGCTATCTTTTACTTACTGTTTGAGCTTCAGATTTGGGTTTTGTTCATTTCTGCTCTGTTGCTAGATACCGGATTCATCCGGATTCTATGACTGCTACATGTAGCTGGTCCACCGCGGCTGTTGACTGTGGACAAAAGATGCTCTTTTTTTGTTGTCAGATGTTGTCAGTATGTGTGGTTAGGGTGCCCAGAGGGACAAGAAAATGCCACCGAGGCGATACAAGTTGACTTGCACTACCTTGCACTATTTATCTAATTTGATTCTGGTCCTTTAAAGCCTTCGGGACAATCCTGACATCTAACATCTACATATGAAATTTATAAACCTGGCTTAGAGTAAAGCAAGAAAGAAGGACGAACGCTGTGCTCGTGGCTCCTGCAAAACCATTTGCTACCTTTGAAACATTTCGATGAATGCGAGGAAATCTAATCTAGGTCGATCGCGGGGCAACAGATCGCACCAAATCTGATTGAAAGATATCGAAAGGATTGGAGCAACATGGAGCAACAATGTGCAAGGCCAATCGATTCGTAGATGCCACGAGGCAGGGCCGGGGCGAAACAGAATGGGAGGCCAGTTGTGGCGTGACCCCCAAGTTTTCTTTGGTAAGAAATAGTACATACTATTACATACATGTACATACATGTACATACGTGTACATACGCAGTATATGCAGTAGATCGTCTGATGTCATTCCATTGATTTTCCCTGAGCCAAATGGTGGCACTATGCTGCTCGCGGAAGCGCACATTGCCGGAATGCCCATGCTGCACTTCCAAGCCAAAAACATCATTGAGAATTTCACGGTTGTTGTGGCCTCAACAGTTGCAACTCCGATTGCAGTGGATGCTGGGAAAACCATGAGATTG